AGAAAAAGAAAAAGAAAAAGAAAAAGAAAAAGAAAAAGAAAAAGAAAAAGAAAAAGAAAAAGAAAAAGAAAAAGAAAAGAAAGAGGGGAGGAGGAACAATGAAATAGGGACAAATTAATTATTGGCTTCATCCTTCTAATTACAGTGGAACTGCAATGAGGCATAAGGTGACAGATGAATCAAAATTCAAATTTAGACGAATTTCACTGTGGAATTTTAAGATCAAAATATTGAGGCTGGTTGTGTTCCCTTCAGCAGAACTTTTTTGTTTACTGTTTTGCAAACTGTTCCCAAGACCTGAAGATCATACGTGACCAGTTTCCCTGGCCCTACCGCCAGATGCCCAAGGCATACATCACACACCTCCGGGAAAGAAGAGCTCTATGAATAGTTTACAAGAGCAAGTACTTTCCATGCGTCCCAAATTGGCACCTGTGGGATGGAGCTGCCCATCCCATTCACTGTGTCCACAGGAAACTCCCTCTTTACTCACTTCTTCCTACAATTAGGGTCTGGATGACCAAACAACCTCTGTCCCCGTACTGATAAGGTGAGGAATCCCTCAAAGGAAAATTACTAGAAGCCAGGAAAATGGTCTGGGGAAGTGTTGCAGATGCCTGTTTGATTCATTCAGTCTCCCCTAGGTATCCCTGGGAGTAAAGTAACAGAGATGGGGTACAGAGCAAGCAAGACCTTCAGTTTTTTGTGAGATAGCTTTGGCATATGTGGGTAATGCACAAACTCAGTGCTCCTCAAGAGCAATAAATTGGTCTCCCTCCTTTAGAGTTAGTTATTTTCCTCCTGGGACTCATCAAGGTCTCTTTGTAGATTCTGCCCACCCCTCATTTCATATCTTGGAATGCCACCAGAAGACAATTAATGACTAACCCTGTCATACAGACTTAGAAACAATAAATATATTTATATATACATATATATAAATGAGCTGAAACAAAATAAAGATAGAAACTGTTATATATAAACATGGAATATAAACATCTGGGGAGCTGTTAGCCAGTCTTACCTGATGTGAATGATGTCATGATCATCACTGCTGTCTTGTTAACTAATTGCTGACATGGTGGTGATAGCAGTACTATGTGAAGACATGCAGCAGACATTGTCTTGTGTGTATAGATGAGCCACCAAGGGGAGATGGAGGCAAAAGAACAAGTATTCTGCACATAAAATTGAGGGAATCAGCAGAGACAATAAGTTAAATCAACGATGTAAGCATAGTAGGAAAGAGAAGAGAGAAGGCAAGAGTGGAGCAGCAACTCATCAGTGGAAGATTTAACCCAAGACATGCCTGCAGTCCAATGGCACCATGGCTAATCCCAGGACAGTGCCTGCTCAGAAGTGTCCTCCACCACACAGATCTAATCAGCCCTCAACTCTCAATATCCCCTTTGCCACAAAATGATCTCCACTCCATCTTATTCAGGCTAACAGAAAATATCCCAACACTTGGCCAAGGGCCATCTACTCGGTGTCCATAAAACACCACAAAGCAAAAAAGGGCAAAATCCACTGTCTGTAGTATCAGGTGATCTGGGGTGAGCGCAGAAAGTTTTTATAGGCACGACTTAAAGCTTCTGTGCCAAATTATGCATGGAGGTAGAGTTTGGGTTTTCTGGAATTATGTATCTAGAAATAGAGATGATTGCCAACCTTATGTAAGTGTTTAAGACAGGCAGTGAAGAACATATCTGATGGGAACAAGAGGAAGAAAGTAGCTTCTGAGCTGATGAGTGATTCTTCACAGATGATTTAAATCAGTGTACTCTCAACATTAGTTGAGAGAGTTTAGCAAAAAATCGAGGTCACAGAAATGGAAATTTAATCACCAAGATCTCAGGGCCAACTCATCTGTTGTCTGAAACAAATCAGGCTCTAAAGGGCTGTAGCACAATCCTCACTTAACATTTCAGCCAGAAAACAAATGTACTTGTTGGTTAAGTGGTAGGCTTTGTTCTGTGCTCCCACAAGTCGTGTTGTGCAGGATCTCTCTACTATTTGAACAAGAAACAAATGTCAGTGACTGCAAATTTGGTCTTGGCTTGAAGGGCCTCTCTGGGAATTTTCCACTTAGGTGAAAGAACAGTCAAAGTTGAAGGGCAGAGGGAATGCATGTTGGTCCAGAGGCAAAATAACCAGAGAGACCAGAGGAACTTTAGCAAACTACTGTTACTCTGCCCTTCAGAAAAAATTCATATCCTCTACCTCTGCTGGCATACTAGGGGGCCACTAGCAATTGCTAGGACAACTATATTGTTCGCAGTCTTGGAGGCAAGAGCAATTCCTCTGTTCTGCCCATAGATTTTCACGCCCCTGAGGCATCACTGACTTTCTTCCCACTCTGGAGAAAATCAAAGCCAGGCTGGAAGGTCTGTGCATTTGTGTTCCAACACAGAATCACAGAATGGTCAGGTTGGAAGGGACCTCAAAGCTCAACCAGTTCCAAACCCCTGCGATGGGCTGGCTGCCCCCCACCAGCTCAAGCTGCCCAGGGCACCATCCATGACCTTGGGCACCTTCCAGGGATGGGGCATCCACGCTTCTCTGGGCAACCTGTTCCACTGACTCAAAACTTGAATAAAAAAATTCCTCCTAACATCTAATCTATGTCTCTTTTTGTTTAAGACTACTCCCCCTTGTCCTGTCACTATCTGCCCTTGTAAAAGTCAGTCTCTCACATTTCTGGATGGAATGAAAATGTCTTCCCATGTATTCTGTTCAGTGCTCTCTGTAGAGAAAGTTGGAACTCAGAAGACAAAGTTTCCTATGAGAATGACACTGGCATCTATAGTTTTACACCAATATTCAGGAGCTGCTTCTTGAACTCCACTCTCTGGTTAGGAGGAGAATCTGTCCTGATTTCCTAAATCTAGGAAAGAAGAAATATCTCAGACACATCCCCTTCCTCAACATTTGCTGTCAGCTGCTCTGGGCACCCGCTTGCTCCATACGCTGAGTGCTGGGAATCCTCCTCCCCACTTTTGGGATGATGGTTCCTTTTGCAGTAAATTCTGAGTCTGCAATATCCTCTTATTGAGCTGCCCAGCTCAGCCCCTTTGTGGAGCTGGATCTGAGTTCTCAGGAACTCCTTCGGTAGGATCAGTGGTTATTTATGAACCACATGAATCACCCAGTGTGCCAGGAACTGAGACGGTGCATCACCCCATAACAAGCAAGATTCCAAGGCACGATGTCCACACAATTCATTTTAATTTGGGTATTTTACAATTCAGAGAAATCAAAGCAGGTTCTAAAGACCGTCCACGCTTTTCCCTTTCTTAGGAAAAAAATAAATAAATCTGTACATCCCTTACTGCGAAACTTCCCTGTTTCTGCTCCTTCTTTTCATTTTTCTTTTCTTTCCTCGCTCTGAGATGTGAGAGTAAAGAGAAATCATATCACATCACATTGTGTGAATACATCAATACAATCATTGTGTGAATACACAAAGGGAAAATGAATAATGGAGGAAATGCAATATGAGAAGAGGTAAACATATTTACATCAATGCCCAATTTTGTCCAGATTTATAGACAGATAAGATAGCAATGAGACAATGGTTTCCTCTTGGAAGCTGTATCTAAGGCACCCAAAAGAGAAAATCACTCAGGAGTGTCAACTTTTATTCGCAGTTGTTCTCTCCTGTGAGAGGAGAAGATGCTATTTGCTTCCTGACAAAGCAAAAAATACAGCAGTTAATGTGTTGGCACAGC